ATTCTACTGTTCTCCAATCCATACTCCTCCATCTATAATATGAAATATTTTATAAAGAAGTTTTGCTCAAAATCTAATTAAATGGGAGTGGCTAGGTGGTGCAGTGGATAGAGCATCGACCCTGGATTCAGGAGGACCTGAGTTCAAATCTGACCTCAGATACATAACACTCACTAGCTGTATGACCCTAAGCAAGTCACTTAACCCCATTGCCTAACCAAAAAAAAAATTCTAATTAAATGCTATCCATGAAATCTCCCCATATCTACTAGTTTATATGTCAGAAAAGGAAATGAGGTTAGACGTGCTTGAAGCCACACTGGCTTTTCTTTTTGGGGGGGGGGAAGAAATCAAGATTAAGTGACTTGCCTAGGGTCACACAGCTAGTAAGTGTCTGAGGCTGGATTTGAACTCAAGTCCTCCTGACTCCAGGGCCAGTGCACTGTGCCACCTAGCTGCTGCCATACTAACTTTAAAATTTTTTTAATTGCTTCCCTTTCTATGTGTTTGCCAACCATTGCCTTATGAATATTTTCTAGAGTTTTTTTGGGGAACCAAAGTTAAGAGCTTTGGCCTATGCAGGCAGTTCTGCTATAACTTGACATATTTGTTTCCCCAAAGTGGCATGGTATGCAAAATCAAGCAATAAAAACCACAAAGTTTATAAGGGAAATGGAGTTAGGGGCATGATGCTCAAAAACTTCATTAGTGACACATAAAAATATGACCTAATAAAAATATAGCACAGTTTTATACATGTTAAATGGTTTTTAAAAAACCCATAAATATTACAATAAAGGGTGGTCACGTTGGAGATATTGGGCCGCTGCTGCACCTTGTCTGGCGTTGTTGCTGTTTTTTGTCCTTGGTACTCGAAGGGGATCAATGACGTCACCATTGTGGGGTCAAGGTACAGTGTGCTTGGCTGTGGCTGCTTAGCCCAGCACAAGCTCAGAGGGCTCTATCATAGGTCGGGCACAAATAGTCCATTTGAACATGTGGGATGAGGAAGTCTTTAGATTTGCTCATCTCATATTCCCTTTGTGCTGCTCTGTGCCCTGTATTGCATGAGCAGGTTGGGCCAGGGCCAGCTGAATCTCTGAGTCTTGGGGTCAGAGTCCAAATCAGAAGGAAGGGAGGGCATGAATGGGCCCATCTTCTCTTCTGGGTGCTACCACACCAGAAGATATATAATCAATATGGCACTTTCCTTTGACAAAGATCTGAAATTTGCCTTCTGAAGTGGGCTTTGACAGGTGCAGCTTAGGAGTTATTATGAAATGATGCTGTTTTCTCCATTGTCATGGAAGAAATCTTGCAGAAACAAACTCAAAATTTGAGTTATGCTCAATATGTTCCCCAATATACCAATCACGTTGGAGTAAATTTTTGTTTTTTGAAACATGCGTTATAGCAGAACTGACCATAGTTTGTAGACTTTGTTCTCTTCCTTTTTAAAAATCAGTATAACACCTTCCATTTTTTTTTTTTTACAGATGAGAGAATTGTGTCTTGGAAGGTAGTGGGATTTGCTCAAAGCTTCACAAATAGTAAGTGATACAGCCAGGACTGAAACTTAGGTCTTTCTAACTCCACAGCTCAATTTAATTCAGTTCAACAAGCATTTATTAAGCATCTAATATATTCGAGACACTGTGCTAGAAAATGCGACTGGATACAGAAAATAATAAAAAAAAAACATTCCCTGCTCTCAAGTAAATTACTTACATTCTGCTGGAGCATTACACACATAAAAAGATAAAAAAAACGAAGGATAATTTGCAGAGGGAGAATACACCGACACCGGGAAATTCTTTGTAGGGGGCGGCATCTGAATAGAGCCTTAAAGGAAAATAAAGATTTGAAGAGTCTGAGATGAGGAGGAAAAGCATTTCCTGTAGAGGGGATAGGCCAGGCAAAGAGGGAGGCTGAAGATGGAATGCTGAATTCAGGAAATTGCAAGTAAGTCCATTGGGTTGGAATGTTGAATGTGTAAAGGGGAATAAGGTAAAACAAATATGGAAAGCCAGACTTTGTAGGTCTTTGAATGCCAAGATGAAGAGTTTGTATTTTATCCCAGAAGCAATAGGTAGCCATCAATGGTTCTTGAGCAGAGGAGTAACATGCTCAGACCTGTGTTTTAGGGAGATTATTTTAGCAGCTGTGGAGGTCAATTAGAGAAGGGAGAATTTAGAAAGCTAGAGTCCAGTTAAAAAGCTATTGTAATAGTCCAGGTAAGAAGTGATGAAGGCCTGAATTAAGGTGGTGACCATGTGAATGCAGAGAAGAAAACAGATGTGGAGATCTCAATGGGTCCTGTTAGGGATGCTCAGCAGATACTATTTGTCTGTTTATAATAATATTAGCTAGTATGAATGCTTTAAGATTTGCAAAAATCTTTTACAAGTATTAAATCATTTTATCTTCAAAACAACCATGGGAGGTAGGTGATATTGTTTTCCCCATTTTACAGATGAGGAAAGTGAGGCAGACTGACATTAAGTGACTTACTATGGATCACACATCTAGGAAGTATTTATCCCCTTGAAGAGATGGAATAACCAGGGGCAGCTAGGTGATGTAGTGGATAGAGCACCAGCCCTGGATTCAGGAGGACCTGAGTTCAAATCCAGCCTCAGACACATAACACTTAGTAGTTGTGTGACCCTGGGCAAGTCACTTAACCCCACTGCCTAGCCCTCCCCCCTAAAAAAAGAGATGAAACAACCAAAGCACAGAGAGGTTGAGCAACTGACCCAAGCTCACACAGCTTGTTAAAAGCAGAATTGGGCCTGGGCTGCAGATCTGAGAACCATACATCAACAGAATAATACTGAGTGCTCAGTAATTTTCTGTCTTAACCCTCAGCCCAACTCCTCACATTTGCTTATGGGCAAGCTACCCAATCTAGAGAGATTTTCACAATTATAAAAATAATGCTGATTGCCCCTGGCATTTTCCAGATGTTGAAATGAACATCTGCATCTCGTTACCACTAAAGGCGTTGGTATTTTATCCTAAAGATAACAAGGTGCCAAAAGGAGGTACTTGAGCATAAAAGTAACTTGGGCTGATCTGAACACAAGGACAGCCATGTGAGTGAGGGCCTTGGAAGGTCTCCAGAGGCCGATGTAGCTGTCTTCTGTGGTGCCCAAAGACTGACATATACTCCACCCATTCAACTGAGCTTAGAATGGGGCTCTGTGTATGTGTGAGATGCTGGGGTGCTTTACTAGTTGGGCAATGGTGTTTGGAGATGGTGTCATATGGGAGCCTTCCTGGGCTCTGACAGAAGTGCTTGATTTCTGGGGCAAAATGGAAGGAAGACATTCATATATAGGTTCAGGCTAGAGAGCAATCCTGGAAACCTGGCCTTGACCTATTGTAGGGGCCCTTAGCTTTCATATTCTCCAGAGATGGGAGGAGACACCAGGGGCCAATAGGAATCCTGCTTATGCTTTTATCTCCAGTGATAATGAGATGCTGAGATTCATTTCACCAGATTTTAATCACTGCAGAAGGAACTCTTCTAATCTGCTGTCACACACATGCTGCCAGATTCATCTTCCTAAAGCACTTCTTAGATTGCTCCCATCCTCCACTAAAACCCCTTAACTGCCTTCTCATGGTGTCCTGAAGGAAGCACAGAGCTTTATATCACTTCTTCCCCCACATACTTTGAAATCAAGGCAAACTGGGCTACTTACTTTTCTCATGCACATCTTGCCCTCCCCTTTCTCCAAGCCTTTGCTTACGTGACTCTGCCATTATGGAATGCCTTCCTTACCCCCTCCAGTTATCCTCCCTCCTCATTTCTACTTGTTAAATTTTTACCTGTCCTTCAAGGCCTAGCCTCCTCTAAGAAGCCTTCTCTGATCTTACTTCACCCATAGGGAATCCTCCCTCCTCTTGAATCCCAAGGACACTTTGTGGCAGTTTGCTTTTCCTGTTATTTCTTTGATGTAGAGAACTCCTAGTGGAAAATTTCCTCTACCAATGCAGATCTCCAGCTATTCTGAAAGTTATAGTCTTAGAAAGTTGCCTAGGGCACCAAAAGGGTTAAATGATTTACCCAGGGTTACAGTCCAGTAGGTAATAAAGGTGAGACTTGGACCCAGGTCCTACTGGCCTGAAGACAGCTCTATCCAGTAAATCAGGTATTTTCATCATTTGGCATATTCTCGCTTTGATCAGAGTAATTTATTTCCTTATTTATCTCCTCACTAGACTGACAGACTCATAACAGTACTATTAGTGCCTTATTCCTTGAGGAAAGGGAGAGGCTTACTTTTTATATTTTTCTCCCCAGTGCCTAACATAGTACCTGGCACATTGTTGTTGTGGTGATTGTTGAGTCGTATGTGACCGTAACCTCACGAACCATGACATCCCAGGCATTTCTCTCTTTCATTATCTCCCAAAGTTTGTTGGGGCCATCTCCAGTCATCTTGATTTATGTCTTGCCACTGGACCCAAATGGCTCCAGAGGAGACTTACTTAAATCCAATTCACTTGCAAGTCATGGCATCATCTTCCTGATGTCATGGTCCCTGTTTCAGAATGAAGGACAAACAACAACCCAAAGTTTGTTCAAGCTCATGTTAGTTGCTTCTGTGACTCTATCTATCCATCTCATCCTCTGCCATCCTCTTTTTCTTTTGCCTTCAATCTTTCCTAACATCAGGTTCTTTTCCAATGAGTCCTGCTTTCTTATATGTGGCCAAAGTATTTAAGCTTCCGCTTCAGTATTTATCCTTCCAAAGAATAGTCTGAATTGATTCCTTTAAGTATTGACTGATTTTATCTCCGCCTTGCACATAGTAGGTGCTTAATTAATGTTTGTTGAATTGAATTCTACTTCTTTGTATAAGCAAAAAATAATACTGCTGAATGAATGAAGGAATGAATGAATGATTTGGTGAGTGGTTACTTATTTTTCTCATGTGATCTCTTTCAGGAAGCCCCAGCATCTGGCTATGACAGACACAGTGCTTAGCAACAGTTCTGATCGCTGGATGTGCCCCAATGACAGATCCATGGCCCTCCGCACAAGGTAAGCTGCTGTTTATTCCTGGTTTTGATTTGGGGAGAGGGCATAGATTTTTTTCTTCAGAAAAAAAAGAAATAGACTATCTTCCCCAGTGCCTTCAAACTAGGTAGATTTTTACAGTGAGAGTGAGTCCCAATTCCACACTGGTTGTATGGCTTTAAAATGTACTTCAGTTCACTATCAGGGTCTTAAATTTTAATCCTGGAATTCCAGGGAGAAGAGAGACCAGTGTGGGAGAAAAAACATGGCCCTAGGAGTCAGAGCACTTGGGTTCTAGTCTTGCTAAGTTAGTTCTTGCTAAACCAGGGGATTTAGCAAGGGTCCAGGAGAGGGCAACAAGGATAGTGAGAGATCTCAGTTCAGTCATTTTTTCAGTCATGTCCAACTCTTCATGACCCTACTTGGAATTTTCTTGACAAAGATACTGGAGTGGTTTGCCATTTCTTTCTCTTGCTCATTTTACAGATGAAGAAACTGTAGCAAACAGGTTAAGTTACTTGTCTAGGGTCACACAGTTATTAAGAGCCTGACACCAGATTTGAACTCAGGTCTTCCTGACTCCAGGCCCAGCAATCTATCTACTGCACCACCCAGCTGCCCAAGGGACCTCGAAGTCATGTCATATAAGGCTTAGCTGAAGCTGAAGGCTTTTTAAGAATGTTTAGCCTGGAGAAGAGGAGGATTGGGATGGTGGAGAGAATACATGACAACCACCTTCAAGTATTTGGAGGGCTATCACATGGAAGGGGAATGAGATTTGTTCTACTTGGCCCCAGAGAGCAGAACTGGGAATAATATGTAGAAGTTGTAGAGAAGCCAATTTAGGTTCAGTGGAATGAAGAGCTTCCTAACAAGAAGTGATCTCAAGTGAAATGGCTGCCTTGGCAGGTGTTGAGTTCCCCCTTCCTGGAGAGTTTAAAGAAGAAGTCCCTTGATGAAAATGTTATAGAGAAATTTCTTGTTCAGGTAAGAGTTGGACTATGGGGGCTTTGAAGTTCCTCTCGACTCTGAGATTTTGTGTTAGTCCTGACTTTGATACTTGTAGGCTGTCTAAGGTAGGTTACCCTGGGCCTCAGTTCATTCCCCTATAAAATGAAAAAGTTCAGACTAAGTAATAATAACAATAACAACAATAATGATGATAATAATATGAAACAGCTAAGATCCAAGAGTGGAACCAGAAGGCCTTATAGGGGTGACATCCCCATGAGCTCAAATAACAATATGTTGACTAAGAAGCATCAAACAAACGGCCCAACCAAAGCAGATTGTTTATAGAAATGGAAGGGTTTATGATACCAAATCAGGATGAGGTTGTTGCCACCAGAAATTACAGATGGAAACCTATATTTATTGGTTATTCCAGATTATACAGGGAACCAATAGAAACGGTGTATCAGACGACTACTGGCTACCAAATGTCTAGCAAGATGTATCCTGGTGGCTAGGATCATGTACCAGAAGCTCAATATCTTTCCTTCATAAACTAACAGATGACAAATCCTTGTTTGGCAGTTAATACCCTCAAGATATCTTTGTGAATTAAAGAGATGAACTGTACAAGATCAAGCACATCAACACATGCAAATCTGTTGTCCAGTCATGACAAATTGAATGACAACCTTTGAAATAGCTCTCCCCATGAGATTACTAACTTTGAATGTGTGCTGTGTACCAATACTCATAATCTCCAAGCAACATAGAATGAAAATATCTCAAAATATAGAAGCCTAGCAAACTAGGAGTAAGATGAAGTACCTATCGTTCATCTTTTCCTGTTTGCTATTGGAGTTTTCCTGAGGATGCTTTCAGTGAGCCTGCAGAAGATGAGTATAACGTCCTAACGCTTTCATCCAGCTACAAAAAGCAGTTATTTTTCCTGCCTTTGCAAAAGTCCATAGAACATTCAATATAAAGGAATGATAACAGGATAGAAGCTTGTCTCAAGATCATTTCTATCTGAACCCAAGTGAGAATAGATGAGGTTGAGATAATAACAATAATAATAATAAATCAAAGTCACATGAGAACAGGATGAGGTATGTGTCATCCCTAGAATCCTCTCTGCTACTGAAGCAGTCTACAAAATGCTTTGGTGATCCTACAAAAGATCAGCTTACATCCCAACACTTTTAGTGAAATGAATGTATGAATAAAGCATTTATTGAGTATTTACCATTTGCAAAGCACTGGAGATTCAAATAGAAAAGTCAGACAGCCCTTGTTTTCAAGAAGCTCACAATCTAATGAGACAGATAAGATGTATGGCAGGTTTTAGCTACAAATAAGATGGAAAATCCCATGGTCCATAAGGTGCAGGGGCAAAGGAGATGGTCATGCCTCTTCTTTAATGTCATTTCCACTGATAAAATCCTATCACCTTCTGATATTGAATCACTTAACAAGATCAAGGACTTTGGTGTCAAGAACTTTCTTTTCTGGCTGTGGCCATCACACCTGCCAGAGCAGTGGCCAGGCTCTATCTCCACAGTGATGATAACTGAAGGCACTGGACTGGAAGTGTTGCTATTCTCAAGACTCTTGGGTTTAGGGTCCTTGACTTTTCTCTACCAGGGTCTGAGGGAAGATGGTGGTCAAGGTGGTGGCTTGAGCTGCTTGGTACCTGCTGCCTCCTATCTCCCACTCAGAGGGTCCTGTTCTTGCAGCTGGACTGGCTCACCTTCCCAGTGAGTGACTGTTGGCCGGCAGTTGGTGGGAATGGTTAGCCCTTTCTCTCTAGCAGTTACCTCCCTAGAGGGTATATGTGAAGGCTGGGACAGGTGGTCTACAGAGTGCTGCACCCCCAGGACTCCTTTGCTTACACACATATCAGTGGCAGTTTGCAAGCAGCTGTTGCTGGTGGTGATGAGGAAGGAGGGATCCCTTCTCAATAATAATTTGTTGATGTGTCCAATTTATAATTAAAATATATATGGACATATTCATATAGAATACATGTGTGTAGAATTATACACATACATACACACATATCTTTTAAAAAAGCCAATGTGGGAGGGGGAGAGAAGACAACTGGAAATCAAAATGATCTTGTGGTACCACCTAAAATTATAGATAATAAATTGGCACGGAGAAGAAACCATCTCAAAAGCAAATGACCCAGAAAACTAAGATGGCCCTTCTGCAATGCAGCACACATTCAAAGTTAGTAATCTCTGGCACTCTATAATCTACTTCACAGACTATTAAAATGAAGCAATCAGAAGAATATGTATTTCTGCAGTACTCTGCAGAGCACTAAATTAAAGGATAATAGCAGGATAGCAATTTGTCCTGGGTCCATTTCTATATGAACCACATCAAGATGAAAATTAGATAATAATAATAATGACAATGATAACAGCAAAAATAATGACATCTGACATTTCTGTGGTGCTTTAAGGTGTGTAAAGTGCTTTACAAATATTATCTCATTTGCTCCTTACAATAACCTGGAAGGTAGGTGCTGTTATACCCATTTTACAGTTGAAGGGACTGAGGCACAGAGAGATTGAGTGACATGCCTGGGGTTACACTACTAATAAGTATCAGAGGCAGAGTATGAACCCAGGCTGATTCTGACTTCCTTTTTTGATTAGGTTTTGTTAAAAGTAAGGTTATCTTTGAAAGCAAAGTGAGTTCCTAAAGCCTACATTGGGGTCCAATATAATGTGAAGAGAACATCTCACCAATTGAAAAATGTGTCTCTATTCAGTGATCAGTTGTCCAGAGGGTAAATGGGATTAAAGATAAAGTTTGCTTTAGTAAGTGCTAGTTATTTAAAATCTCATCCATCAGAATTGCGTTTAGCCAATATGAAATCCAACAATTACTTTCCATTTATATTGGGAATATTCAAATAGTCCATGACCAGGTTCATGAATATGCTCCTGAGAGCCTACCGAGCATCTTGACATTCGAAATACCTCCAGTCACCCTCTATTGCTATTGCTTTTTCATCAGATATTAAAATTATTTTTCAATAAATGCTAATGGCTAGATAATAGCCATCCTGCATGACGCCAGAGTTGCTGCAGTGGTAATGGGTAATGCAGACATTTCTAATGTCTTTCTCAAGCAAATTAAGAAATCCAGCTTTAATTAACATCCAGTTGGACACACTTGCAGCTTATGCAATTGCCAAATATCTTCATTTCTCTGCTGCTTTTGATCCAGCATGTTTGACCGGCTGATCATTTCTGAAACTGATGGCTAAGGGCATGCAGAATTCCAGAATCTCAGCATTGGAAGGACCCTCAGAGGTCATCCCTGCACAAGATGTCCCCCCACAATGTCCCCCAACAAGAGATCCTTTAGTCTTTGCTAAGAGACTTCCAGCGAGGGACACCCCACTGCGTCCCGAGGCAGTCCATCCCATTTATGACTCATCCTCATTCGCAAGAAGTTTTTTATGGACAGAAAGCCTAGATTTGCTTCTTTGTGGTGACTACATATTGCTTCTAGTCTTGCTCAGTGGGACCAAGTAGAACAAGCCTATTCCCTTTTCCACATGACAAGCCTTCCACTTGAAGACTACTCTTATGCTTCCTCATCCCCTCCCAACTCTTCCTTTCTCCAGACTAAGCATTTCTAATTACTTCAACCTTTATATGGCCCAATCTTGAGCCCTTCGATCATCCTGGTCGCATTCTTTTGGACATTCTCCAGCTAGGTGGTACAGTAGACAAAGCACTGAGTTCAAATCTGGCCTCAGATGCTTACTAGTTGTGTGACCCCAGACAAGTCACTTAAGTGCTTTTTGCCTCACTTTCCTCAATTGTAAAATGGGGAAAATAATAGCACCTATCACTCAGGGTTTTTATGAGGATCAGGTGAAGTAATATTTTTAAAGCACTTAACACAGTGCCTGACACACAGCTGGTGCTATATACATGCTGGATGCTGCTGCTTTGGCTGATTATTTCAGTTTATCAATGTTTAAAGCAAGTGTGATATAGTGGTCAGAGAAACAGATTTGGTGTCAGTGGGCATGCATTTAAATTCCA